TTTATTTACTCATGTCTAAGGATGTAACGACACACTCAACTCACGATACGATTTTTAAGGTTCACAAATATGATTTTTTTAAATGAAATCCATACAAATTATGACCAAACACAATGGTCCTATGACCAAGAACTATGTAAAATACATTACCAAATTAAATGGATTTGTGTTCCTCACAATATAGAAATTGCTGTCCTAAGTAACAGAATACAAAAAACAAATTGCCCATTTCCGAGCTATCCTTGCCTTTGTTTGTTTTTTAATAGATATGAAACCAATGAGAGGCCACGGTTCAGATGAGCGGCTGACGCGGCCAAATGACTTGACCTGCAGTAAACACTAGTTTGTACCTCAGTCAGCAGAACAGAGACCCGGGAGGTCCCTCGGCAGAAATTAATGGCAGACCTCTGAATCGCCAGAAAAGCATTTTATTTCAACCTTCACAATTGAAAGATTTGTGCCGAGTGAATGTTTCCCCGAACGACAATCATCTCCTCGGCCAAGCAGTTTGTACTGATCAACAAAGGGGAAACTGCACCACATATTTGCTCGAGTTTACCGCAACTAGGCAGTAACGTTGCAGAAGGCGGTGTTTTTAAGCTTTGTTGAGGGACTGGTAATAATGTTCCAGACTATTTGTTTGTCTTTAGGTTTATGCTCTTGTGTTCTTGATCCAAAGGCAGCAGACTTTTTAATCATCCCACATTTTTACCCTGTTCCAAAGTTGGTCGTGACTGTAGCTCTACAGTCTGACTTTGTTCTTGCCCTGCTCTGGAACGGTGACCTTTTTTGACGTTCCCTCTTCCAATGTTCTCCAAGAGTTTCTTTGTGCAACGATACAAATTCTAAAAAATCCAATTAAAATCAAACAAGAAAAAATATCATAGTTACGAAAAAAAAAAAAAAAGGTTGAAAATAATATTGGTCTCTGGTTTGGTGTACAAATTTGAGGTTATTATAGTAACTGCATTATGGTGATCCTGACGTTCAGAGTTGAAGTCTGTTCAGTTCTTTACTGTAGTTCTCCCTGCTCCTCTTGTCTTCTCATTCTTTTGTGTTTCAGTTGTTTTTTTTTTATCTGAGTCAGTTATGTTGCAGTGCGTTGAATTTATTCAGTTGATCCATATCTCAGCTGCTCTGGGAAAGAAGAGAAAAACCTTCACAGCCCATTGACTGAGAGAAGAATCTATAATTAGCTGTGACAGAGTATGGAGATGAGAAGCACAGAAACGCTCCTGTATTGATTTTTATCACCAGCTTTGGTTTCGTGTCTTACAGCAAAAACTCGCTGTTAACTCTGCAGAGGGGAGTTTTCACACTTTGAGTTTGACTGCCCCTGTTTGTCAGTTTATGTTATTACATGTCAACAGTAACAATGGAAGAAGGTATTCCATCGTAATTTAAGAATGATCTACTTTGAGTTTCTAGTACAGTACGACCCTTACTTCAACTTAATTTGTTTTTTGATACAAAATAATGGCATTTTACTAACTATTGATTATATTTATTTAAAAACATAATGAGTGAATGATGATTCCGGGTTGGAGCTTAAAGTGCGGTATTCCTTATATGTGTTTATTTATTTTATTGAAGAACAACAGACCTGGAACATCCGGCAGCTGCATCTGTCTGTTCCACAGATCAGTGTTTCATGACGTGTGACTGTTGCTCTAGTAGTTTAGTCAAATATTAATGTCTGTCAGTGAGAACTCTTCGGTGCTCATTGCATCAAACAGTCTGACTTCATAGCCGTCTGCACTGATGGCTGCTTCAGGACTCAACATTAATCAGTTCAGATTCATTGGTTAGAACAGTGTTTCCCAATCTCTCTTTTAAAAATGTATTTATTCGAGTGCCTTCCTGACTTCATAGTCCTGCAGCCAAATTACGAATAATTTGAACTGACTTTAGGTGATGCTGTGATTCACGGTAGGCCTCATTTTTTAAATCAGTAATTCACTCGAGTGCAACGCACCAGCCGAGACTTATGTAAGGGTTAGTGTTAGCGTCATTAAAAATTCAAAAAAAAGTGGTTGCGTGTTGTGAATGAAGGTTTTCTCAGAGCTACTTGCATTTATGCATGATGACACTCAGACAGGCCTCCGACTTCTCAGCTGTGTAATCAACCTGTGTCACGTTGCACAGCTGAGTTCCACACTGAAGGAACTACAAACAAATCCCATCTATCAGTTCCTGCTGCTTGTTTGTCATAATTCACGCTCCTCCGTCTTTTCTCTCCTGGTATCTCCTGTTCGCAGACATATTGAGTGCGTTTGTTTGGGTGCTTCCCAGTGTAAAGTATCTGCTCTGTCTTTTCTTCTAAGTGACAGACTCTGGTGAGTACTGATACTGTATCACACTGTAGTATTACATCCATTGTACGGAAAGAAAGCTATTCCTTTACTGGATAAACCTGACCTGTCCACCTGATACGCCAAGGTCCTGCTTTGGGACGGCGTGGCTAGACTTTACCGAGGTCACATGGTCATCGATGTCAGCGTCCTTCAGACCGAGTGGTCCTGAAGGCACATGGTTTTACCTTTCCTCTGTCCTTTCCCTGGAAGTCTGGGAGACAAACCCCCCCTGGTGGACGGACGACTCTCACCGTTAGTCGCAGGAGAAAACCTGACTGGGCTGGATTTAATTTTCAACCATTTTATCATAAAATGACAGGTGTTGCTTATAATGCCTTCAAGCCCAATATAAATTAGGCAGCGTTGCCCAAGGCAGTAATTTTAAATCTAAAATGCAGACGTATTAAACATCTGCCCTTTTACTGCTGACTGAAATTGCATACAAAGCAGTTAGTGTAGTTTTTAGTCACCAGAGTCTGTTCCTTCACTTTATTCATACTTTGTTGCATGGAATTATTTTCGGTTTCAATTAATACTATTTACGAAGTATTAAAAATATAGATGCTGTATTATATTCTCATTAACTTGAATGTGTAGAATTGTTAATCATTAATTACAGATACCTTAACTGTTCTCAGTATTTTGAAGGCTGTAGTATTTACTGTTTATTGCTGCTAAAAAAACTGCCAAGTCATCAGTTGGTCAGAACATTATAGGCAGAGGTTTGTTGGCCAATCAGAAGACAGACAGACAGACAGACTTAACATCGTAACCTGCTGCTCCTTTACACTGAGAACTAAGTCGATTATGAATATATATTTTGCGATAAATTATTAGTTGCAATATATTAACTAAATTATATTCTAAAATATTCCAATCTAACAGAATATCCTTTAAAATTATTCTTTTTTTATTTTTTTTATTTGAAAAATCGTGATGTTTGAATGATCACTTCACATACACTGATGTGTTATCACAGCACGTGTGAACCTTCTGTTCCTCCTCTCACTGAACTGCAGACAAACAAACACAACATTTTCCAAACAAACAAACGCCTCATTTTCGGTCACTCTCAGACACCGATTCATGTCTGAACAGTAACTTCTCTGTCGGCCGAACGCAGCGTCAACTCCCGCCTTTGTAAACGAAATGGTTTTTGAACGTGGGGGCGTGTGAAGATGCAGCGCAGCTCGGTGCTCATCAGACACATCAGCAGTTTTTTATTTTTAGACACAGGGTAAAGTAGGTTACCTGTTGGTGAGATCTGAGTAATGGAGTGTCTACCCAACGAGCCCCCAGGCTACAATTAGAGAAAACCTCTCTCTCTCTCTCCTCTGTGTACATGTACAGTAACGCTCTGCCCTCTCCTCTGTCTCCTCTGTCTCCACTTCTCTGACTTCATTCACAATATGTCTCTTTAGCTGCTGCCAGTCCAACGCTGTCTTTGTCTCTCTCCCTCCTGAGCCTTTATTCACTTAAATTGAAGGCCATGAGGACATACAGTACATCTGAGGTGAACACGCAGTACTGAGTACATATATATATATATTCTGCATATATATATATGTATGTATGTATATATGACATTCAGCAACTGTTACCAGAAATTAAAAGCTGTTGGCTAAGAACTTTAACAAGTTCTTTAACAAGAATCAGTGCCAACGTAGTAGAGAAAAAGGCGAAAGAAATGTGTTGTTTTTTTGTTTTTTTTCTACAAATTCTTGAAATACAGTCGTAAACAACCAAGAGCCACCAAACAGAGAGGCGTCAAACCTAGTCACAAGTCACAAACCTACGCAACCCAGTTCAACAGACATTGTTCGTAAACTCCTGGGAAACATGATGCAAGACGACCCCCCAGATATTTTTAAAAGTCACAAACCTACGCAACCCAGTTCAACAGACATTGTTCGTAAACTCCTGGGAAACATGATGCAAGACGACCCCCCAAAAAAAATTTCTTGCGACCCACCTGAGGGTCGCGACCCAGTCTTTGGGAAACAATACTGTATACTCTAAGCATGGTGTTGTGGCCTTGTGTTGTGTTCCGCAGCAGCAGTAACCAAGGCAGTAGAGTGCTGCGCTCATTGTCCGTCTCACTCACATTTATTTACATATCCTCGTTTCTCTGCATCGACAGAAAAACAAGTAGAAAAGAAGAAAAGAAACGTGACATTTCCCAGCCTCTGGGTCTGATGCACACAGTGTCTGACAAACACACACCAAGGTCAGTTAGGCTCAGGGCTGCTTTATCTGCAGTTTGCAGTGAGTTGTTGAGGAATGATGTGCTGCCAGTCTTCTCTCTGGTACTGTGTGTGTGTGTGCGTGTGTGTGTGTGTTTGAGGTAGAAAACACAGTGATAGGCTAATGGCAGTTTGCCCGTGTGTGTTTTTGTGCAAGAAAACAAACAGTGGTGTTAAGGAAGTGTGTATTTACTGTATGTTTACACGACACTGACTCTGCATTAGACTCTGCAGACTGTGACTGAGACTTGTGACAAATGCTACTGTTTATACACACAGATAGAAACACCCTCTACTGTAGCTGTGAACGGATACATGTGAAAATGTTGACTTCACTCTGTCAGTTTAAACAGGACAGAAGTAACTGAATAAAACACCATGTGTCTGTGTCTGTGTCTTACAGGAGTCGGCCCAGGAAAGTGTGATCACTCGTGACATTCATCGAACCTTCCCCGCACATGATTACTTCAAGGACTCCGACGGAGATGGACAGGACTCGCTGTATAAGATCTGCAAGGTGGGTTTGGGTTCAGCGTTCACGTTTGTTGGATCAGGTCAGTGTGAGTTTCGTAGAATAAGGAAGTCTGGGTCAACAGTGGGGATTCAAGACAAATCTCAGTAAGAACAAATGAAACAATCTGACATTGAAGTGCTTTTCCTTTCTGTCGTCTGGTCTCTGTGGGCAGGGGTATTGATTTTGAAAAATTGAATCGATTTTTTTTTTTTTCCTGCATCGTGCTGTCAAGGTTGTTCTGCATAGAGGTTAAATTAATGTAGAGTTATTTTAAATGATATGAATTCAGGCTGTTAGGAGAAAAGGGCCCGGATGGAAACAGCTGCTGAATGTTCATGACTTCATCACAAACAGTCTTAATGATGGAACTAAAAAAACATCAATCTGACCCCTTACCTCTTGCCTAATATAATAATAATTAACAAGGAGCATTCATTTGTGAGTGAAAACATGAAGTCAGATGACCAACAAACACATTAATCACTCACCAACTGTCAGTTAACGATCACGACATTTTAGGAGACGAAATCCAACCTTCAGAAATGTCCACTCTGACCTGTTTTTCAAGTGAAGAAGAAGATTCATCTTTGTGAATGTTATCTGAAAGAGGACTCCAGAGTCAAGAGGGCAGAACAACTGGATCCTCGACTCACACCGCGGTAGTTAGACGAGCAGATGGTGCGGTGAGCTGCCGGTGAACAGGAGTCGTGCGTTCAACAGAAGGAGTTCAGATAATGATACAAACAGCTGCAAACGGAGTCCAGTGACGCCTAACGATGAGTTTAGAGACCGAGTCTGGAGAAGTTGGTCTAACAATGCAGAATGACATTAAGAGATTGAAGTGATGAGAATTGTAGTTATACATTACAAAGGTAGACGTGCGCGTGGAAAGAAGATTAGATGACTAAAAAATTAAACCAAAATATTTGAAAACTTCTCTAATTTAAACAAGATTAAAACCCTGTTAAAACCAAAATATAACCAGGTTACTTGAAAACTTAATTTTGTAATTTAAACAAGATTAAAACCCTGTTTATTTTATTGTTATTTTTTAATGTAATAATAAACACAATGGTTTATTATCACATAACAAAAAAAAAAACCTACTCATAAAATGCTGATGAAGTCCTTGGTTCTGACCACAGGTACAGAAAGGAGCCAACCTCCTCTACACCCCCCACCCCCCTCCCTCCCTCTCGTCCCCCCAGGGACTTGTGCCTTGAGGCAATTATCTATGAAGGCAAGCGGTACATTTTATTGGGACAAAAGCCAAGGTCACCATTACTGTAATGTATTAAAGCCAGTCTTAATATCTGCTTCAGTCTCTGCCTCAGCTGAACGCAGCCGTAAACTCGACCAAAATGATTATAAAACCCAGATGTGTCCAAAAAATTCATTCGACACGCTCACAAACTGAAAAAAATGACAACAAAATGGAGTGTGAACTGAAAAAGAGAAATAATTGTGATGAGGTCCACTCATAGATCAAAACAGATGCTGAATCAGCGGGTGAAGGTTACACACAGTCATTACTGTATTAAACCTCCGACAAATAACTTGCATTAGTGGAGCCTGGTTTACACAACAACAACAAGTGGAGATTTTCATTGAAAACGAAGCCTTCTGTATTGGACCCGTGCTGCAGATCCTAGGTACAGCCGCTCGGTGCTCAGGGAGAACCTGTCAGGAAGGGTTAGCGTTGTGTCTGGGCCCAACTAGGTCAGCGGCGAGCCTGTTCTCATTTGTATGCAAATCCATGTAGATTTGCTGTTGATAAGGTTGGTTGGATCTGGAGGCAGGAGTGGGATACTGGCACCCAGGGTCCGGGATAAAGTTTCTCTTCATCTTCATATCATCCTTGGTAATAAGCCCTGAAGTCTTATTTTCTTAACCTTTACTCTCGGGGGACAGAGGGGGGGAAGGTCATCGCAGCTGCAGGCATTCATTCACTGATAATCTCTCTCTTCTATAATTGTTCACACTTGGAGTCACACTTGCCTCTTTGACCCCAGACTGTATCCTTTCGGAGGGCAACGATATTTATTCAGTCCGAGAATTTCAAATCTCGTGTTGTCCATTCTGTCACTGAGGTCCGTGGAAACACAACTTAAGCAAAGCATATAGGAAAATCAAACACGTTAATGCGTCGTCATGCCTCATCAACCTGGATAATGATGTGGATCTCTGTGATCATTGACTATTTCCAACTACGTCCATATCTTGGTGACGGTCAGTCTGGTTAGACTTCCATTAACTCGTCGTCACACTGTCCAGACAAGATCCCGCCGAGACGAATGAAAAATCAGGTCAAGTCTGTCCTATTGCCAGGTTGAATTTTCAACCTGTAAAGTCAGTCATTTATTACTACAGCACAGTCAATAGTAATACATAGATGATTTGGGCTAAAAATATATATATTTTTAACTGTCATATATATTTAGATCTGTTTTAAAACCTATAACTTTCTGTTTTTTTTTTAATCACCAGTTCAATCTAATTGGCTAATTCAAACGAGGCTGGTGATTATCTCCGTACTTTACAAAGATTTGCTCTTTTGAGGACGGGGTCTTGAATATTTGTTGTCACAGGTTTTTTCGGTTCAGTTTGATTCAAGCTACAAAGGTCATATTTGTGGTTTGAATCCTTTTACACAAAGACGGGTTTTCATTTTTTACACGTAGCCTCTGGATTGGTGTCCGTGGTTTTAGGAGAATTTCCAGGCGTACTGTGACAGTGTGTTGTCACTGACAGCTGACTGACACAATCGTCACTGGATCATCAGGGACCGTTGACTGGTTCATAACAACAGATTTCCCCACAGTATTGAAAGCAGTTGTAGCTAAAATCCTATGAAATCAAACATGAATATTTATTAGATATTTTTTGGTAAGATTTGAGTGACACCTTTGGATATTTGTGTTGACATTTTCCTTATTTAGAGTCCCGTCATTTGGATTAGTCAGAAATAAATAATACAGAGTCATATTTAAAAATGACAAGTCATCTTGAGTAATCATGATAAATTATGATCCTGGTCAGTTGTAATTAATCATGATTAATTCACGGCTGCCCGTTGATAAATCTGATTTAAATAAATTAATCTATTGACTGCCTGGAAAATTAATTTAAAAGAGCTCTGTTGTTTTAGGTTTTCCAACACACTCTTCATGTATTCTTTACAGCAGGAACTGAACATATAGATATGTTCACAGCCCATCGGGCTCTGAGTCTATTGTCTGCTCATGCTAACAGATTTAGATTTCACCCACCAGGACCTCCCCCTTCCATCTGTCAGCACACACACTTCTACCAAGCTGAGATGAGGATGTGCCAGTGTCACACTCCATCAAACATGTCGGCTCGTAGATTACGCTCCAGACAGTTTTACACCACTTCTCCATCACCTTCACATCAACGCTTAAATTAGCCGCACCGATCAGCGGTGGAGCTTCAGAGATCCACGCTCACGGAATGAGGTGCTAACCATTCAACCGTAACCCCGAGCAGGTCCCTGCCAATTAGTACCATCAATTAAAAAGACTCAGCGTGCTGCCGACGAGGCCCTGAGGAGAGATTTGAAACTGTAACTGAAAATGTAAACTGCTCTGTCGAGGAAGAGGAGATGACAGAAAAACCTCAGGTGTGGTGTTTATTTTGGATCTGTGCTAAATTCGTCAGCCGTTGACCTTTAAAACATTTGGAGCTGCTGGATTTATCAGCTCCCGTTGGATGCAGTTGGGTGAGGCGGTTGGGTGAGGCGGTTGGTTCGTCGGTAGAATCCCAACTGCTGTCTTTAACCTGTTTGTTTTGTTTGAAGGCATACAGCGCAGCTGTGTCTTCAGGGAACGCCATGTTCTCTTCACCTTCTGCTCTTAGAAAATGAAAGAACAAGCCAGACGTTTTCACCTCTTGTTGGATTCTTGTCGATACTGAAAAGACTCGCCTGTGATGTTTGCCTTAGGTGTCAATAAAAGGGAGAATCTCCAACTAAAATCTGAAGCTTCCTTCAGTCAAAGTACATTTCAGATCACTGCTCCACTTTTATTCTCAAAAACTCAAACTCAAAAAGTACAATAAATTCACACAACCCTGCGATGATTCGCCGGACTCGAATGAGAGTTAATGTAGATTAAATGTCGGATGAATTATCGCGTGGTCCGACACACTTGAATCTGAATGAAGAAGAACGCTGATATGTTTGATCCTGAAATCAAACACTGTTTACTGCCATGTTCACTTCATCTACTTGAAAGGGAATCATTGATCTGTTTTGCCGGCCCTCGGTGTCATCAGAAAAACATTTATTCCAGGTTGAGTTTCAGAGTCTGTTTGAAACAAAAGCAACACTCAGCTCTTTTATAACATGACTTTGTGAACAGTGGGAACACTGTCCTTGGTCTATGACTCATCTGTCATCATTGCTATAAGAAAAGGCCAGGGCACAGGCTTTGAAGATGAATTTGAATAGAGTTTTTTTTTTTAAACTTTCACATGAACAAAAACAAAAACATCAGGACATTTAAAATGGAGGCATTTACATTCACGTTATGACATGAAGACTCAACATGGAGATGGAGGTCTGAAGTGGAAGATTTCACCATTTTCTGTAGAACTTTTGAAATTATATATTTTAAAGTATAGTTATTATCAGGGGGAAATGATTGGTCAATTACACTAATGAAAAACATAAGTCAAAAGTTTCCTTGGTAATAGTTTCTCCTTTCTTCGTTGTTAGTGAAGGCAAAATGGTTGCCAATCTGACTTTCATGGGAAATACTGAAGCATATTTGCTCCACTGTTATGAAAGGAACTGGATCTTTTGCTGTAGGATTGACCCATAGGTCAAAGCACTAAAATCACAGGATCGAGGATTAAGTTTTAGTTTTACTCAGTGAAAACTAGTGAATGTCAATAAAATTATCTTTTTGCCTCATTTTCTGTATTTTTTCGGACCAGAGAACAGTAGTGACTGTGCTGTAAAACTTTCAAGATTCGTTTTTTTTTTTTTTTACCTCGGCACCAGGCGTTCACACCTGGATCAGTACATTCACACCGTTGGTGACAGTATTGTTTCACAGTGAGAATTAACACCAGTTGTTCCAAATGAACACGAACTGTTGTTTCTATAAGTGTCAACGTTTAATAATAGTCAAGCTGAACAAATGTGCCGTCAGATGCAGGTGAATACTTTGGCAGGTCCATCAAATAAATAAGGATCTTAGTTTTCCACACTCGATAATTTATTTTTTATTTTTTTGGGCAGCCTGGTGTACATAGATAATCTTTTAGCATTTTTTATTTTGCTGCTAAGTTTTACACTGTACAGCTGTGTAATATTTACAGTACTACTGTCAAAACTTTATTCATATGAAGTACAATATGTACAAGTATGTTTTTGTCTTCATGCTAAATTTATATCCAAACATTTTTTTCTTTTTGCTCTATATTGTGTGTTTTATATTTATATTTAATACATTATTCTGCCGAATGTTCTTACTTGTTGTAGCGGATGCTACATATGGGAGTGGATGTATTATAGATGTAATTAACTCAAATGATTTATTTACACAGACACAACTACAGGGAATAACCAAGCATCACTGCAGCTTAGATGACCTTAAATGTCCTTCTCCACAGGCTTACTCTGTCTACGACGAAGAGATCGGTTATTGCCAGGGTCAGTCGTTTCTTGCTGCCGTTCTCCTACTGCATGTGAGTAGACGTGTCGTCTTTCCATTAAGTGAAGATGTCTACAGTATTTTTTATTTTGTTTTTTTTTTACATTTTACGCACATAACAGATTTTTTTCTGCCCACAAATGTTCTGAATTATATTGATGAAATATATTGCTATATATACACAGGTTTGTGTTTGTTGAGATCCGTGCACATTTTTGAGAATTTTTTTAAAGAGTTGTCATAATGTTACTGTAAATATTCTCATTTTTGTAGATGATTGAATGTAGACTAAAGCTGAGAAAGTGACTTTCACTGACACTGTTCCATCTACACTCACATTTATGTCATTTAGTCAACCAACATGTGCGTCGTTTGTTTACCATATTTAACAGCAGAAAGCTAAACGTTAACCTAGGTTTGGGCTGATGGACAAGGAGGGGAAAAAAATTGCATTTTTTTTCTTCAAGGTCAACTGCAGACGCACTACATCTCTGTGGCAGCACCACATTTAGTCACTCTCTGGATTCCAATTCCTTAAGGAGACTGAAAAATATATTAGAAGGAAGTATAAAAGTCCAGTGGAGACATATGGAGGTGGGAGTCCTGAGTGGAGGAGGTGGAGAAGTGGATGTTTGGTTGATGTCCAAATGACAAAGGCAGGAAAGGTTACAGAGTAGGGAAACAGAGGGAGAGGAGAGGAAGAGGTCGGAAGGAGGCGGGATGAAGAGAGACAGTAGGACAGTCCTGGCAGAGTTCTCTGTGTGAACAGAGTTGGAGATGAATAATTGCATAATGAGGAAAGGAGAACGGGGGTGTGAAAAAAAAAACAAAAACAGGAAGAAGTTGTGGAGGAAAAGGCAGTAAATTTGAAGAGCAAAAGCAGTTAAAATAAAAGAGAGGTAAAACAGGCAGAGGGGGCAGATTGGTTATAGAGGGGAGAGAGGGAGGAGGGAGAGGTTATAGAGGAGATGTCAGGAATATTAATAGGGCTTCAGCTTTTACCTGCAGGAGCCCATTCAGCCCCAAACACACACTGTCACTCTGATTAAATATCATCTCAACCCACTGTCTGCAGGTGTGTGTTTGCCGGTGTGTATTGCACAGACAGTGAGGGGTAATAAACCTGTAAACACTCGGATGAACACAAACAAACCCCTATATTTGTTTATTCTTCTCTTCATAGCATCACCTCAGAAACACGGCCTGACATGTATGTAGTTCTTCATACAGTAAAACACCAATAAATAGGGAAGAACTGATACTGACATAAGTGGAGGAGCGTATCAGTTTGTAGCGGAGTCCTGGGTTCGATTCCCTGAGGAACCACATGCTCGATTGTTAATCCTCCTCTTGTAAATCGCTTTGGATAAAAGCGTCTGCTAAATGCATAAAAATTAAATAACAGCTTTCACCTTTAAAAAAAATAAAAATGTAAATCTGAAATGTCTCGAGTTTACTGCATGAATGTTAAAATGACTGTGTTCTTCCAGATGCCTGAGGAGCAGGCCTTCTGCGTGCTGGTGAAAATCATGTATCAGTACGGCCTCCGAACTCTCTACAAGAACAACTTTGAAGATCTTCACTGCAAGTTCTACCAGCTGGAGAAACTGATGCAGGTTAATGTTGGCATCCTCATCTTCATCGTCATTAGGTCTCATATGGTTTTGATCGCAATCAGTGCCAGGTACTAATGACTTGGCCACTTGGACTAATGGGAGTCAAGTGGCCAAGTGCGGAGACTTGACTCAGACTTCTATGACTTGGACTTAGGTGTAATGAACATCAGACATGTTTCAGGCCTCATTTTATTGCCTGGAGTTGAACACCCTTGACTACGGTTTGAACTTTTTTCTGTGACTTTGACGTCATCCCAAAACTTAGGGACTAGACTGTAAAGTGGCACAAATGTATCCTTTGTAACTTTGTGACTCGGACTTGGACTCGAACACTGGGGACTTAAACACAGGCCCGTCCTAGGAGTTTTGAGCCAAATGAAGTGTTTCATTAATCCCTGACTTGAAACTGCGGCTCCACTGAACCCCCCGGACGACTTGACGTTCTTTTTGCAGTCAGACTCAGACTTAAATCCTCGAGACACAACTACAGCCCTGGTGCAGGGACACGAAACCATCCATGGCCTCAATACTTTACATAGTTGTTCAAATACAAGATTTTCAATACGTGTGTGACTCACTTTGTACTATAAATATATAGAAATATATTCATAAAAACAGGAATGGCTGCTTCCAGATATAAGGCTGTTTAGTTCACACCTCAGGCCTCGGCTCAAGAAATGATTAATTTCACCACTTGCTGTCAGAAATGTAAATGTTTCAGCTTTGGCGTCCGCAAATACGACTGAGAATGTTAAAACAATTACCACCCCGTTGGGTCGACACCACACAGCTGAATGTCATGACATTTGGTTTGTAACATTTTTTTTTTTTTTTTTATACATGTGACCGTTGCCCCGCAACTCTGTTTGTATTTTATATTGCGACCAGAACAGTGTGTTTTAGGTCTTAACGGTTTCTGCTGTAATGAGCCTGAGCCTGTAATCCATCCTGGTGCTTTCTGCTGCCAACAGTCATCTCATCAGGGTCAACTTAGTTAGCATTTGGTTAGCATCCACTCACGGAGCTCAATGCTGTTAACATCGACTGTCAATTATTAACATGTAAGTAGAAGATCACTATCTGATCCAGCCAGAGTCACTGTAGCCGTGTGAGCGTCGCCTGCCAACGCTGATCAATTATCACAAACAAGTCAATTATTATTAGGTCAGTGATTGTAAATGGATATTTCCAAATGGCACATTTGGAAATGTTACAGCCTTAATATAAATCTGATGAAGGAATAGATGATGTTCTCTAGTTAAATATGAATGATTTGGAATCTAACGCAAAGGAACAAGATGACACATTTCAGCCATCGTACTAATGAACATTTATATAAGAAATAAATTAAAACATACATTAAGAAATATATGGAACTATTTAAAAAAATATTTATTTATATTTATTTTTACTTTATGTAACCGTATTTTGAATATTACAAGATTTTTTTGTGGTAATAATTTGGGCTCATGTAAGACTAAAAGTCTTAAACAAAATAAGATTCATTTAAAATAATGATCAAAGAGGTGAGGTCATCTTTGACCCCAGATGACCAAAGGTGTTAACAGTAACATGTAAATGTTAAGTTTACAGTAAAATCTCCTTCTGGACTGTCTGGCTCTCAGTGACATATGGTTTTATACCGTCCATGGTACTGTCCATGGTACCGTCCATGGTACCGTCCATGGCACCGTCCATGGTACCGTCCATGGTACCGCCCCCGGCGTCCATGGTACCGTCCATGGTACTGTCCATGGTACTGTCCATTATACTGTCTATTATACTGTCCACTGACGTCTCCTTCTTCTTCCCCTGCTCTTACAGGAACAGCTCCCTGACCTGTGGTCCCACTTCCAGGAGCTGAACCTGGAGGCCCACATGTATGCGTCCCAGTGGTTCCTCACCCTCTTCACTGCCAAGTTCCCCCTGTGCATGGTGTTCCACATCACTGACCTGCTGCTGTGTGAGGTACGTTTGATTCAGCCTGCCGTTCTTCTGGGACTACAGTAATGGGTCTTGTCCACACTGACGTCTAAAGGCACGTGGTGGAATGAGCAACCGACCGGAAAAATGTAAAGTAGTAAATAGTGTCGGGGGAAGAGGTCATTGAGAGGTCACACGTGAGAGGAAGGCACACGGTGAGGACGAGGAGACGGCAGTTGATATCTGTCCACGAGGTTCACATCAATTTGAAGGGTTAAACCAACAACCGTTACAGTCGCTCTGTATTCTACCCTTCAGTCTGTCCGGGGTAATCAATAGGGACACAGCGATCAGCCCTGTAGGGCAGATACTATCACTGGATTTATTTCATTAGGAACTTAGGAACAATTACACTCCCCTCCTGCTCCTGCCACAGTTTTTCCTGTAACAACCTGCTCAGGTTTCTTTGTTTCTCTGTGTCCTGGATAGACTGGAATACTAGGACACTAGAACAACAGCATAAAATACCACTTCAAGAGTTAGCATTTAAGAAGCTAACACTATTTGGAGTTTGACATGTTCTGCTCAGACTTCAGCATCATCGCAAATGATGTGACATAAAGAGACACACACACATCTGTGTTGCTGGGTCAACAGACCACAGCCTATGTGTTTTTGTTGCTGGGTCAACAGACCACAGCCTCCCTCTCCAAGTTGTAGAAACATTCAACTACATTTACTGGTGAATATTTAACATATTGTGAAGTACAAACAGAGGAGAAACTGTTCAGTGAATCTGACGTCAGACATTAAAGCTGAGTTCGTTTGAATATGAGTTAAAATGGTCACTAAATGTCAGACATAAGTCACTTCTTGAATCAATACTATTACCCCCTACTCTCACCCCTCTCTCTCCCTCTGTGGGCCAGAGGCTGAACATTTACACTCTCCAGGTTTTTCATACCCAACGAGCCGTATTAGGAGAGAGTTCATTAAGGCAGAATTCTTTTTTTTTTTCTTGTTGCTCTAATTTTCTGTTGTTGTTAACACTTTCTATAATGTTCCTTTTTGGCAGTGATTTAATGATGCAAAATAGAAAATCCTTCTTTTTTAAAAAAAAAGCAACATTTCCTCCACATCACTGTGATCACTATCTCTATGCCCCGTGCTTTGATCACCACATTCTACCCTTAGCTTTGATCGTGCCGCAGCTCTGCAGCGCCATCTTGTGCCGACAGACACAAGCATATGAAGGCAACGCTTCCCCCAGGTTTCTCCCTGCCTCATCCTGCTTCTGATATTTTTAGAGCCGTCCAGATATTTTTAGCTCTGTGTTGCCATGTAAACTGGTTGTCACAGAGACCAGGAGGACGGCTGTTCCAGTGCAGTGCTGACATCAGCTCCACATTGTCTTTGTCAGCTGGTAAAAAAAAAAAATTATATTTACTTTAAAAAAGAAAAAAAAAACCCACGTGGTTTACCATAATTATCCTGTTGGATGAGGAACCCCTTAATGAAACAGTAAAGGAGAAAAGATATGTAGGATATACATGTGTGTATATACACATATATACATTAATGTAAATATATGTGTATATGTGTGGGTATATATGTATATATGAGACATGACATCATAACAGGGTTACAAAGTTTTTTGTTTTTTTTTAAATTCAGTCAAAATTAAAATAGATAAATAAATACTTTTAAATATTTCCCCACATATATTTACTCTGTTGTTGCTACTCTCCGTAAAAACTTTTTCATGAATCTTTTTCTTGCTGTAAAAGGTTAAAAAAAATGTCTTGGCCCTAATACATAGACTTCTTTAAGCTGCACGATGTCGACCACAGCGTATCTTTGTGTTTGTGTTATGATGCAAGTCAGAGTTCTTCTGTTCAATGTCTTCTTAAACCAGACCTGTCCTAATATTCATTCTGCCATATTATCAGTAGTATATAATGTTCTGTATTTCACCTTGGTTTAGTGACATGCATTGAATTCTAAAAAAATAAGTTTGGTAATTCTTGTCATTTAGGTTTAAGGTTTGACTTAATTGTCTGGGAATCAAACACGTTGTTGTTTTTGATAGTAGTTCTTTCATATGATTGTTTAACTGACTGTATGTGAGAAGTGAATTCAACTCAATATTATCTTTCAACTGTACATTAAATTTTTTTTTTTCATTTTTCTCCCAGGGTCTGAACATCATCTTCAACGTAGCCCTGGCTTTACTGAAGGTCAGTGTTCCCTTCATCGATATCAGTTTCTCTGTTTTAGATCTTTTAGATTTTTTAAAAAAAAATACAGTTTGACATTTGGTCCTTAATTTACAGTATATTATATATATATATCTCACCTTCCTAATAATGTGAAAAACTAATAATAATAATAATAATTGAACTTATCAGTAATATTATATCAGGTCGAATGGATTAAACATAAACAAAACAGAAAACAGTCAGGCCTGAAGCCAACACAGATGTTCAAACTCATAACCAGTCTCTCTCACTGTATGAGGAAGTGGACCTGGGTGTCACGTCATAGTTACAGCTTTAGTATTGTATTGACGTCTGTCGCCCCCTAGTGTCTCAATTTAAAGCTTCATCCTCACTTCAAGTAAAAATAGATGGATAATTTGTTAAAAAAATAAAATAGAAATTATACATATACTTATATATATCTAATATGCCATGCTTTAAATTAAGCTATATAATTTTCTCCACCAGCTGGATGTATAATTTATTTAGCAAAAAATGTTTGAATATATTTCATTTTTTACTTTTTTTTTCAAAAACTGCAGTTTTTGAAGTATAGTTGTTGCAGTAGCAGCAAACAATGGTGTTTTTTTGTTTTAAATTTACACTCTCTGCTCTCATGACTCAGCTTTGTATGTTGCACATACTGTAATATGGTATAAAATAAAATAAAAAGTATATAAAGGTGTATTAGTTACAAACAGAAAGAACTGCACTAATCCAGAAACTGAATCACTTCTCTACAAAATAACTCCATATATATTTTATATTGACTGTGTTTGTGTGTGTGCATGTGGGCGTTTGTTATTTTAAAAAACATTTTCTTGAGTTTAAAAGATGATAAATGTCCACGTGTTTGCTGTCGGAGAGAGCAGTGGCGTAGAATTACCAGTTGTTGTGCCATTAGATCCGTTTGCGGCGGGACAGATCAATGGCTTTTGGTCAATGACTATATCACTTTGTATTAGTGTTGGCTGGTTCTCTGTGGGTAATGATTCATGATATTTATTGGTTTTCACTGTGAGCTGTGTGGAACTCTCAGTGATAAAAGATCATATTTTCCCCAAAGATCGATTTTTAACCAAAGATGACGAATAAGTGTTTCTTTCAATATTTCTTTGTTAAAAGTCTGTAGGAAAAATACACCTGAGTACGTGGTCTGTACTGTAGTCCGAGCATCATGACAGCACTACAAGAACAAAGCCACAGATAAATAATTGAGATACACAGTAAGTCAAAAAGCTGAAAGATGATTCGAAAAAATGTAAATGCTGTTGGTTCAGCCACAACCTTGTTATTTGTTTTTGTTTTTTTTTACATTTAACTGCAAACTGCTTGGCTCCAAAGTTTAGAAGAGTCCAGCATCTGCAGGCATTTACACACACACAAAAAATATATATAATATATAAATATATATATATGACTAAATATATATATAAATATGTGTGTATCTACTCTACATTAATCATACATGGTGGGTTTTAAAAAGCCCTGCTCCGTGTTTTAGCAGTAATTCATTCTGAGAGAGAAGAAGAAGAAGAAGAAGATGTGGTCAATGCGATCGTTGGGAATGGACAACAAATAAGGATGAGTGGAGGATGGAAGGGGCTTCCACTGCTGGCCTCTCATTGGCCAGCCATGACGACATTCTCCCCCGAGGCCCCCCTCCTCCTCCTTCGACCATCCATCCGTCCCGCTCCTCTCCTCTCTCACCAGCCCTCCCTCCCTCCGTCTGCGCTCGACTCCCTCCCTCTCCTGCTTGGCAGTTGCCATCCTCATCACAACAGGAGCATAAGCTACAGCCTTAGCAATCCAAACCTGGGGGAGATAAGCCGCGTTGTTGTTGTGTTTCTTTCATTTTTCCCGACTTTTGCTTCATGCTCGGCTCACGGATTTCTGCCTGGAGTCTTGTCTGTTCTTCAGTTTCCTTCTTTATCTAAATTACCCTCTGCACCTTCTACCTCTGCCTTCTCCTCCTCTGCTCTGCTCTGCACTGCTGGCTGGCAATTTCTCTAACACGCTACCTCAGTCACCACCACCTAGACCTCTGCATCGGAGACACTCCTGCTAGCTGTTAGCCTCTAGCACCACAGAGAGAGATTGACAGGAGTCAAGAAAGGGGGGGAGAAAAAAAGGCGTTTGAAAAAGGAAGGCTCATTAGTGAAGAAAAGCTGTTGGCTGGTGTCTTTTTTGTTGCCTCAGCCCAGCTGTTCTGGAGCGCCACCCCTGATCTCACACACACACACACACACACACACATACACACTCTCATGCGCTCAACTGTTCAGCCTCTGTTGCTGGGAGGCATAAGTGATTTTTCCATCTGAAGGATCTGGTGTTCTGTCTTAGAGATCTACTTACTAGCACTGACCGGATGGCTGGCTGCTGCTTTAGTAGGAAAGAGGGACAGACAGTGTGCTGAAGAGCTGGAGCTGGAAACTGGAACTCGATGGGACTCTGTAATTAAGTTTAAAGGAAGAACAAAAACAAAGAACCAGGAGACTCTCTAACCTTTAATGAAGTACAAATCGTTTTATTATCCCATTCTGAGCTCATTTCCATCTGTCTCATCTGGCACAACGTACAACTTGGCCACAAAAAGTGCATCATGTTTCCATAGAGGGTCAAATGTGCCAAAACGTCCATGTTTTATAGACCAGAGCGCCACCTGTGTTCATCCAGTGTAAGGCAGGAGCTCCTCAGATCATTTTGTCAGTTGTCATTTCAAAGACTAACCATCCTGTGTTCAGTACAAGGTGTGGCCGATCACTGTGGATTCACTGACACTCACTCCTGTGCATCACGGTGACTCCACTCTGCACTGGGTTCATTTTCATCCCTCTGTTTTTGAAGACTTTCAACAAAAGGAAAAAATCCTGAAAAGGTGGAGTATTGGCTGCTGTTTGCAGGAGCAGCGGCCCACGTGTTTAGCTGCTTTGTTGCTAGGCAACCGCATACTGGACTGGCATTGGTCGGAGGAGTTTGGGAGAGGAGGATGAGACTGGAGAGTGTGACTGGATTACTGAGTGAGTCTGGCAGGTAGCTGGAAGACTCAGCATTATGCTGAAAGAATCGTCGACTTGTCGCCTTCTGACTGTCACTGTGCTACACCTGCTGGTTGTTGCTGGACTCTGACAGTGACATATAGACTCAGGGGAACGCAACATTTTGTTCCACATGTCCATGATCCCCCTGGATGCAGCCTGGATGAAGTGCATGAACTTCCGCTGTGCGCTCCCTTAGCGCCCTGGCTGCGTGTTAACTACTCTTCTTAGCCGGTGTCAAACGGACAGAGCTGGGAGAACAAACGCTCCAGTTGATCTCACAACTTGCCCCGCTGCCCCTCCAGTCCCAGCCCCACCAATTGGGAAACCCTCTAGAACCTCTGGACGACACGCTGGAGTCACTTGCCACTCTGGCCCCGGAGCGGGACCACCCGTCTTCCTCACCCTGTCCCACGCCGCCTCCGTCGCCTCCACCGTCGCCCTCAGTCTCCCCTCCTTCAATGCCAGCCCTGACCACGCATCTGCCCCTTCCAGCAGTGTGTGGGGCAGTGGAGGATGGAGAGGAGGAAGAGGAAGAGAAGGCCCACAGCAGCCAGGCTTCAGCTGACTCTTTCTGCAGGGTGATGGATATTCTAGGGATGGGTCACCGGCTCTTTGTCCCAAGGCTGCTGGCGGTGAGATTTCGCTCATTGGGCTGGAAAATTGGAGTTTATGGGGCATTAGTCTTGGCTTGGTCTGCTGTATTATTTTTATTTGCTGGATATTTTGGACAACATGTATTTAACCTTCTTTCTCTTCAACTTACTGTTGAATATAATATTTGAATCTGTTCCTACTGTATAACGTGGTTCTTAATTAGTTGTTAAAAAAATCTCCTTCATGCCACTCTCAGAATAGAGTTAAGGGTCAGTTGTACTAATCACCACAAGATGGCGGTATTGGTATACTTGTTGGCGCAGGAACTCTTCAAACTACAGGTGTGCACGTTTAATGTGACAGGTCTGTTCTGCAGTGATGTGTGTGTGTGTGTGTTTCAATGCAGTTTTTAAAAATAAAAATAAAAACTTCTCTGATTGGTCCGTCGTTCAGCCTTAACAGTTTGGTTGAACAGAGAATGATGCTCAGCTCGTAGGAATTAAAACAGCTTTGTGCTAAAATCGTAGGACAAAGGATGAACAGGTTTTATCTCCAGGGTTGAACCGGTTGATGTTGTTGTAAGGCCCAAGCTCACAGTTCATGAACACCTCATCAGTCTGGTTCATTCTGACATGTTATAAAATCACTTTCTTCTTCTTCTTCTTCTTCTTCTTCTTCTTCTTCTCTCGTGATCCAGACTTCGAAGGAGGACCTACTGCAGGCTGATTTTGAAGGCGCCCTCAAATTCTTCAGAGTCCAGCTCCCGAAACGATACCGAGCTGCAGAGAATGCTCGACGGTTGATGGAGCAGGCCTGCAACATCAAGGTAGGCGTTTACACGGAGCCGGTTCTTCAGCACCTTCATCGTCAAAGGGCTGGAATCAAAACTACTGCTGTTTTCAAAACTGTCAGGTTGATAAAAGCTCTGTTCTAAGGACTACTCTGAGGTCAGGAGTTTGTCAGTCTGCTTTTAAAACGGCGTGGAGGAGGCTCCACGTTAGCGCTCAGTACGTGACCATAAAGTGCTGACTGTTATGGGTCAGATCAGAATCACACAGAGACATGAGAGAACCGTTCTTGGCTGGCTAACTTCTCAGAACACACTGCCTTCTTACTGTAGGTGTTTACATGGTGAACAGTTCGTGTTTGCTGATGTTTGCATGTTGTCTGTAAAAGATACACAAGGCTGATTGTCAGCGTGTTGGTCCGAGCCGGCAAGGACAACATGTGCACGTACACGTTATCATCCTCCTGTTGACCTTAATGACGCTGCTGGCATTTAGGGAATTTGTCGAGGCCGTTACACAGTGTATAAGTTATTCTGTGTGTGTGTGTGTTTGTTGTGTGTGTGTGTGGTGACAGAGGAAGCCAAGAGTTGACACAGTCAGATGGAACAGATAGTTGTCCTCCCTCCGCCCTCAACACTCTGCTCTCTGTCCATTTCTGTTTGTCCTTAAATTTGGTTTAACAAAAAAAAACAAACAACTCAGTTTCTTCTCACAGATACAGAGAACTCTGTGGTTGACAAATGGATTCACAGTGCAATGGTTTCACGACACGCTGTTCTAATGTTCCCTCGGTGTTGCTCGTTTTGTACGATAATTATGCACACAGGATTTCCTGTGTTGCAAGTCACCGTTTGTTTGCTGGTTTTTGTCGCATTTTGGATCTGCTGCACATTTCTTCAGCGTCATCACCTGAGATGTTCACATTAGAGCCGCACACGTCAGTCGTATATGAACAAAAGTCTTTGATGTCAATCCGCAAAACGGCTAAGCTGCAACAATAAACCATGTCATTAATTATGATTTTAAAATATTAGGAACCTCAGCCTGCGTTGTTTGTTGCAGCAGCTTTTAAAACAGAATTTCGTCTTATCGTCAGGTTCGTGCTGAAAATCGTCTGATTCCAATCACTGAGCAGTCGATCGCTGCGTCTCCAGTTTCTATAATAAAACATTAAATCAAAACTGACTGAAAATGACCCTCAACCAATCGATGTTCTGAACGGTGTCTGTCCTGAATCACTGACTCTCATTTCTGACTCTCACTAACAGAATGTGCCGACAGAGAGTTTCCAGGTCAGAAACTAGAATGAATCAGGTTCCAGGTTGACTCTAACCAAGTGACGGTGAAATCATTTTGTTATCGGCCTCTAACTGGGTATATAATAATAATAATATAATAAACTTTTCCTCCGACGATGACGACGACCGTGAAGCCTTTACATATTTCTCTCTCTTTGTCTAAATCGGATCAGCTGAATTCTATAAGCTGCTTAAGAACGGCCGAGGAATTCCCCGGCACCTTCAGTTAATAAGCAGTGATGAGGGTGGATTAGGTGAAGAATTTTACCTTCTCAGCTTTATTAAACATCTAACGTGCTGAGTTGGGATTACAGAGAAGTCATGGAAAAAGTGTTCTTTACCTCCATCTAGAATACAAGACCTTCCTCACACTTTAGTAGTGAAGGAAGATTAATGAGATTAACTCTGTCTGAGTTTGATGATTGTGACTCTGGGAGGATTAATGTCTGTCTGAGTTTGATGATCGTGACTCTTATCACATTTGATGTTAGCTGTATTTTTGAACGGCTCCGTCCTTTTTCTTAGAGACCTTTTAGGCATCAAAAAAAAAAAATTTAAATGCAATTTTCACGGCGTCAGACACTAGAGGCACTGAGAAGAAACAGAGATGAAGTCATGGTCCTTGAGGGGCAGGGCGGTGTTTCTGTGGAGGTGGTCAGGTGGTTTGGTGTGAGCTCCAGTGGGAGAGAGATCACGGCAGCATCCGACACACAGCCTCTCACTGGGTTTGACTTTCTGTCTTTCGGCTGTTTCGAAATGCAACTGTCAACATCGAGGCGCTGTGGTTGTACTGACAACTTCCTTCCTATCGCTCGTAACCTCAACAACACACACACACGCGCTCGTGTGTGATAACACACACACATACCGAGGAGGATATTTTTAACAGCAGCAGAGTAAAGAGAGAAAGGAGGAAAGAGAATTTAACTGAGCCGAGGACAAAGCAGAACTGAGGAGGAGGACGAGGAGGAGGAGGTGTTGATGTAGTGACACTGAGTGGAGGAGAAAAAACTCATTGTCCTCTGTTGTGCATCTCTGTCTGTGAAGAGGGGGAGAGAAACAAACAGGTGAGTTGTGCTGCCCTCTCCCTTTCCGGCCTTGCTCCTCCTCCTCCTCCTTCTCAGTGGGAGGTTCTTACTCCTGAGGGGCTCTTGAAAGCAGCCCTGCCGCCCGCTCCGCTCTCAGTGGGGAAACAAAAACCTGTCAGCTGCACTCAGCTTCTCCTCATCTTTTTCGTTGCACTCCGCTTCTCCGTCCTCCGTCCTCCTTTTTTTCCTTCTCTCTGCTGCTGGAAACGAGCAGGATTCAAGATGATGCAGGAGGTTTCCATTATGGTGGCGTACGACGCTCATGTAGTAGAACGACCCAGTGAGGAGGACACTCTGGCTCGCTTGGTCGCTCGCTCCAGACCGCTGAGGGCGTTCAGACCTGTGGTACGTTGTCTCTGCTCGGGGTCACTTTGACAAATAGAGAAATGGAAAGAGGAATTCACCTGCTTCTATCTTTCCTTTTTTTTCTGTTTCATGTTTGTGTCTTTTCTTCCGTCCTCGCTCTGTTGCTCTGTGAACAGTAGTGGAAAATGCAGGCTCTGCAGGAGCGACGTTTTCACATGATTAATAATTGAAGAGTTGGTTTTTCAGTATCGTGTTGACTGTGGAAAGTGTGTCTGATGTTCTTGGCAATTCAGTGATGTCACGTCTCTGAGTTTACTTTTTTTTTATCTGTATAAATTCATTTGTTTTATGTAAAGAGTTTGTCAGGACTAGTGGTCGTTACAGGGACCAGATCTGTCTGGTTAACGTCTGGTCAATGGTTAAACTGTGGGATTTTAAGGGTTTAGAAGGTCAACATTATTAACACGTGACCGTTGGTAAAACAAACATGACTGACTCACCGTAGAGTAAAAAAAAAAAAAGTCACATTGACGTAATGAATTTTCTTGTTCACCTAACTTTAAATACTACAAATCTGCCTGACTCCAGTCTGTCAGTTCTAATCCCAACTCAAACTAAATCCTGGACCTGAAGAATCCCGTCTTTGTGAGTCACCATCGTCCGTCAAAGTGTCCGTTCAACAATATTATTAATTCTCTCAAAATACATCTCCACGAGTATAGCTGTACCTGTCTGAGACACACACACACACACACACACCTAGTGTAGCACCAGTGGCTAATATCTGCTAAGAGGTTTGGGACGCATTCCATTTTCTGCTGCACAGATTCAGGTCAGGATTCTAAAAGCGGCCGTGGTTCCATTTCCATGTGACTCCACATTTTTGACTTTAATCAAATTGCCTCTGTCCTCTCTGTCCTCTCTGTCCTCTCTGTCCTGGTCCGGCTTCAGACGTTTCCACTGAAAGTTGAGTGAAACCTTCATGAGGTTGAGAGATGCTTCACCCACTTGGAGCGTCGGAACTGCTGGTGTGTGTGTGTGTGTGTGTGTGTGTGTGTGTGTGTGTGTGTGTGGACACCGTGACGTAGCCCTCAGCGAGGCACCAAAGCCCGTGAGATCTGCTCCTGGAATGTCAGTGATATTACTGAACACGTTTGTTTCCAGGGATGAGGAGGAAGAATCTCCGAGTTATCTCAACCATCGAAGAATATTTGAACTACATTTTCACTGATTTTGGTGATTTTAATGTCAACTCTATTTGTCAACCAAAAATGTCAACTTTGTCTTTAGAGATAGTCAGGATTGGCTTCACATTCACCCAAGCAAATTATTTTGGTTTTTCTGTTTTTGGTTTTCTAAACGGACTTTTAAAAACACAGTTTTACTGCATTAAAGTTTATAAATTTTTTATACTCTTGGATCTGACACGGCCGTGTGCAGCGGCCGCTGAGCCCTCGCTGTGATTAAGTTAAACCAATGTAACCAGGTTAACGTGTGTGTAATCACATTAAACTCCATGACGTCACAAATATCACTGGATTAGACAGAAAGGAGCCGCCGTTTATGACGATGTTGTTTTTCCTCTTCTAAGAATCAGTAACTGAACTGGTCTTCAGTCTGAAGAACTTATTTCTCCTCAGAGATCAGAGCGTTAATTATCTATAAATATCCTGGTGTGAATGTGACGACTAAAGGACAGTAAATGGAAACAACGTGTTTGTGAGTAATACGCTGTTCTCACCTCGGGTAGCGAAGAAGGAAACTGTGACGCTACCAGGGTATCATGAGAACAGGTGCCAGTCAATCTGATGTTAGGGTTTGAGGTGTGTGTCTGTGTGTGTGGGTGTGGGTGGGTAGGTGGGGGGGGGGTCCACTCTTTTCCCCTCATTTTGTATTCAGTTGTCTTTTCTTTATGATGTGGCTGTTCTCTGAAGCTAATTGAGGTTTTCTTTCCTTCCTGTCTTTATTGAACTCGACTTTAAAACTCACTCACACACAGAGAGAGAGAGAGAGAGAGAGAGAACACACACACACACAGAACACACACTCAGAGGAAGGGTCAGGTGACTGAGAACGACCTGGAATCCCCAGTGCTAATGCTGGACACTATGGCAACACTGTTTCCACTCAGGGGAGATCATGTTACCACCGACCTGACACACACACACACACACACACACGCTCCGTGTCACTGTTGTTAGCCGTGTCTACCACCAGCTCATATTTTAGACTCAATGATTTTCAGGTTGATGATCCTGAACAACAGGGACCAATCAGTGACTCTCACTGTCCAACAACAACAACAACATTTTTTTTCCCAGGCTCCTTAGCGTCAGAGTTAGCAGCGTTAGCAGTGTCAGAAACACTATTTGCTTTAACACTAATCATTTGAACATTTGAACATCTCCTTTTTTTTTCTCTTACAGGTCACCCACAAAAAGCTGAAGAAGTTTGAGAAAGAATATCAGACGTTGAGAGAGAGCCAGCTGCAGCAAGAGGATCCCATCGACCGATATCAGGTAGAAATCACACACACATTTACATTTTTCGTGCACGTGCAGTAGTTAAAAACATTTCCATCTTTTAGTGAATGTTAAATCCACTTTCTCTCTTTAAGTAGTCAAAAAAACGTGGAACTGTTTTAAAAGAACCCACTTGTCAAACTCTACCTTTGTTCCTGTCTGCGTCTCTGAAGTCGCTGTGAAGCTTCACTCGACAAAACACCCACTTTGATCACGTTCGACCCAGAACGTCAGGGAAATATATTTTTGGCCGCGGCTTTCAGGTGGTCGTCAGATTAAAATTAGCTGCAGAGTTTGTCTCGCTGCTCAGACGTTTCAAACATTTGATGTGAGACACACAGCAGCAGTCAACAGTCTCTTCAAATAATGCTGTCTTTACCAATGATGATGTCACAACAGCTCCAGCAGGAACACTCATTTTTAGCTCTACACCTGAAGGTTTATGTGAGATCTTGAGGTGACGGATGTTTGACGATCTGACTCTGCTCTGACTCCACCGACGCTCCGGTTTGAACGGTGTCTCCAACATCTTTAATTCAGTGTTAAATCATGGAGTGTTAATCACTGTGTTATTGTTCTCAGCCTCAGGCCGACCTCGCAGAACAAACGTCATTCCACCTTTGCCACAATATAGAACCAACAGAATCTAAAAGGCATAAAAATGAATTAAAGGCTTCATTTCCTCTCAGACTCGGGCGTTAACAACAATTCTTAGAAACAATGAATGAATGACTGAAGGAAATTATTTTCATAGAGTTGGATCAGAGCCTCTGGAAAGACATGGTTTTTGTTGTTATTATTATTGTTGTTTATGGGCAACTAAGTAGTGTGTATTTTATTTTTGTACAGTTACTCAAATAAAGTGTTTCTAAGTGGACAAAAGTAAGAGGGGGATGGGAGAGAGAGACAGAGAGAGAGTAAGAGAGAGAGAGAGAGAGTCAGGCAGATCCAGGGATCATGTATTCATCTGCTGCCTCCGTGTGAAGTTGCTGTGACGTTGGACAGCATGCCTCCATGTGAAGTTGCTGTGACGTTGGACAGCAGCACGGTAAGCTGTCTCTGCTGTTGCTGATTGCTAGTTGCTGTTGAAGGTGGTACAGTAGTTGTTGTTGTTGTTGTTGTTGTTGTTGTTGTTGTTGTTGTTGTTGTTGTTGTTGTTGTTGTTGTTGTTGTTGTTGTTGTTGTTGTTGTTGTTGTTGTTGTTGTTGTTGTTGTTGTCATCATGGTGTAACATGTACAGCAGCTGCAGCAGAGACTCCACTCCACGCTCATCCAGACTGGATTAAAGCCACGCTGTGACTCCACACAGGAAGAGAATAATTGAATTCTTGAGCCGCTCTGACTCTGTTCATTTTTTAACTTAGTTCGTTCTGATAACATCCATGTAAAAAGTTCTGTTTGGAACAACAAATATGTTTTAATGCTCCTCACAAAACAGCAGATGTTTGAAAGCCCTTTGTGACTTTTATAACATTCACTTTGACACAGTGTGAAAAAGTGTTTGGACAAATCCACTTCAGACATTGAAACAATATATTTACATGGAAATACATTTGTATCTGTGTGTGTTGTTAATGGTTTGTAGCAGATTTTAACTTTACTCAGTCAAACCAGGTCAGGTGACTGTGTGCAGTGTCCCACTCAGACACTGCCATCATGTGAGAA